GGCCGGACGGTGACTTCGCATCGCCGCGGTTCACGCATTCTCGGTCATCCAGGTGAGGAAACAAGACCGAAGAAGTCACCTGGATGACGAAACGTGTCGCCCAGGTGAACAGAATCCCCTGCGTGGGCTTTACTCTGCTCTCTGCAGATTTCACAGTAATCTGATTACACCCTGAATCCAGATCGACTGGGTTAAAGGTTAAAGGGAGGCCCTGAGCTGACTTCACTTTCCAATAAGTGATCGATTATCAGACTGATCGGAAGTCTCAAACACTCACCTCATGTTGCCCTCTTCCTCCTCTGAGGGAGCGAAGTGATGACGAGGATGAGGGAGAGCGTGAGCACCGAGTGACCGGTCCGTGCGCTCCGTCACAGAACGGAAACTTAACGTGAGGCCTTCACGGTCCTCTCTGAATGCATGTACAGCAGAGAGCTCAGCCGGGTGACGCAGACTCACACTTGTTCGTGTTACACAGTCATTTCCACGGGTGACACTCCCAGCGTGTCCCCTCTGACTCCATGCTCAGCCACTCTAACGTAGCTTATTTCAGGTGAACTGCAGCGCCAAGCGTCCTAAATGATGTGATGACGTGTGAAGGTGGCTCACAGGTAAGCTGCACAGCCTTGTTCACACGGACAGGTTTACATAAAGTTACGTGAAGCACAGGTGGAACATCTGGAAAGGAGTCACGTGCTCTGTAATCACAGACCTCTGCCTGCAGGTCCATGAACACAAACAGGTGGCTGCAAGGGACAGAACTGTGTTTGGGACACTTCTGCTGCGTCCACACTAATCTGTGTCTCTGCACATGTCTGCAAAACTAGTTAAATCTCAGTTCATACGGAGGAGCAAATGTCATCATATAAGGAAGGATCACGTGGTTAAAAACTACTGTGGTTGACACATAAAGTTCATTTTTTTAAAAAGAGGCACGTGGACGTGATGTGAAACGTGACTTCAGAGGGGTCCTTGAAGGCAGCACGAGGAGACGCCAAGTTTCGTTTCTGTGAGCCAGCTGAGAGCCTCGAGCTCACTGATCAGCTGGTAATCTGTAACTGACTGATCTGGGATCAGTCAGTGGATTAGCCACTGACTGTGCTTAGAGTTAGAAATGTTTTTGTTTGTGTTTTAGTTGTTTAAAGTAAGAACTTCTTTGCTCAGTGTAACCATCTGTGTTTTGCAGTGTAAACTTGATGAAGAGGAGCACTTTATGAATATGCCAGTAAACATTATTCCTGTCTAACGAGGTCGTAATGAGTCTTTCAGAAAGGCTTCGTGCTTTTCTCTGCACACGCAACTGTGTCTGCAGCTTTCCTCGTATTTACCTGCTGACTGCTGCTCAGGTGCACCTTACCTGTCTGTGGCGTCTGCACACCATTTAATGAAACAGACGTTTAAATAAAGTTAATGAATGATTCCATCACAGATTCACTCATTTACTGCAGCAGAGGAACGTGAAGCACAGCTGGAACATCTGGAACAGACCCAGCTGAACAGCAGCTGTGGTTCAGAGCTCCACGTCCACACCTGAAACTCTCACGCTGGCACCAGCAGGTGTCACCGTAGGGCTGAGTGTGAAGCTGTGACTCTTCAGCACATCTCTAACAGCGAGTCAGTGAGCGTGCTCAGACCAGCACTTCCCACCATCACCGCTTCTGACGCGAAGAGAAACATCAGCTCAGCCTGAGGACACCTGGCACCTCTGAGGCTCCGCCCAGCACAGGTACAGGCTGGCTGGACTTTAGTGACGCTTCACGTTGATTCTTTCAGAGAGGAAGATGAAACTTTATTTAGAACAGCACCTCACCTCATGCACTCTCTACACCTGACCCCTTCTTCGAGCACTCACGTGTCATTAGTGCGAGGGGGTCACAGTCACCACG